TGACATCCTTTCTTACCATTTCTATCCTTTTTAAAAAGTGCTCTGTCTTCGCAGTGAAACCGTTACAAGTGTATCCCTTTCACCCTCCAGCTCTATTTAGTTGAGCTAATTGTGTATGTCATCTTGTTATGCGTGTGCATTCGATCAACTGCAGATGGAATGAGTGTGGGAAAACCCGCTATTCCTGATCCTTTTTCAAGGGGACGATTGCTGGTTACTGTCCTTCAATGGGAAAACAAATTGCCTTTTCAAGTATCTCACAAGGAAATTCACAGTTTATCCCTTTTAAAGTGAGGATCGTAGTTAAAAGTCCTTAAATCCGACATGTCCGTATACGAGCAAGGCATGGATTTTTTCCTCCCTTTTTTAAGTGAGGATCGTGGGTGCGCTCCAGGATCGAGCTGAGCGTGGATTTTTCCGTTACGACTCTTGCACCCCCGTCCCTTTTTAAACGTTCACGTACGTGAACGGGATATAAAGACATGGATTAATTATTATATATATGTATGTTATTTATTCATTTTATTTTTCAATGACTGAATGCCGAGAATGCCAAAATTTCATCCGAGTACTCGAAACATTTACTTTGCATTTACTCATTCTATCCATTACGCCTTGGTTGTAATTTCACTCATTTCGTATGCAACAAAAACAACGCTCACCAATGCTCATTTCACTTTGTTGAAACCGTTCTGTCACGCCTAATTTCGACTAAGGCTTGTTGTACTCAAATAACCAAAAATTTCGAGTGCATTCCTGCAGACCTCTGTCGTTTCTATATCCTTGTGGGAGCGCTTGAATACCTGTTCACAAATATCCTTTTACATGCAGAGACCCTAATTAATTGCATATTTATTACCCCATCCATTGATAGGATTCATTGATTTGACAGTTAAAACATTAATTGCATTTTTATTAACATTATGGCCGACATCAAAGGTCCCGAAAATAGGCTTTTATTAATACTCATACGAATAACTTTCGAACTATGATGTAATCAAACCCAATATTGGAAATAGAGAAAAATCTGTATCCTTTTAAAAAAGTTTCCTCCACAGTTCAATTCACAGCTTTTAAGCCTATGCACCCAATACATTCGGAATTATTCGGATTGGAAAGTGAAACTACGAATATTTTCGATATAAAAAGCTTGAGATTAAAAGATGATCAACGAGTGTATACAAAAATTATCGAACTCCACATAATCAGATGAACGAAATACAAAAGAAAGAATGTGGAACTCTTTTAACTCAAAATCATGATGGACTGCAACTTCCCCTTCAAGAGCATTTCCAAAAAGAGTAGAAAGTAACAAGTGTATTATAGAGCAGGAATTAGCTGCAATTCATTTTGGAATATTACAAATATTTACGGAAAACATTTTATATTCTTGATTTTGATTCTTGATTCTTGATTTCATCTTTCCAAGTGAACGGACGTGTTTTTTTCTTGCGCTCTCGTTTTGTATTAAAATTTGATTCTAACCACCGGGGTTAACTTAAATTTTCTAATTTGTGTTTATAACTTCCCGTTCACTTCGCGTGTGCATGCAGCTCTTCTAATTTGTGTATATAATTGGTTTTATTTTCCAATTTAGTTGTGCTGCTAGTTTTAGCTTTAAACATCGGCCTGCGTTACTGTTGTGAGGCCTGTCGCGATGTAGAAAGGGAGATGATGTCTTACATGCGGCAAACCAAAAGTGGTTTTAAGGGCATTTTAAAGAGTTTTCGTAAAACTCTTGATATGTTCTTGGCGCTGGACACCCAATTTAATAGCCTTACGCTGTTAAATGAGTCTCCTAGGCGCAAAAAAACAGCTATTGGTGGGCAGCATGTAGACGGACCAACTACATGCATCGGGCTCTCGGCTCTCAACAGCAGCCTCCCTCGGCACAGGTATGCTATGCTTCCTTAAACATGGGAAGAAAAAAATTGCAAGATGTGATGATAGCTATTTATAATCTAGTGGATTCTTGACTTTGGTAGTTTCTTTCAAAGACGGGTATAAATAAAATCAGACAACTCAAACTGGCACAATGGGAAAATATCTTTGATCAAGTATCAATCGATAATTTAAAAATTATGGACAATAAAATATTTAAATCGTTAATAGTAGGGCTAATCAAACCGGTTACCCAAATAAAAAGATTAAGGGAAAAAGAAGCAATACTGTTTACATTTCTTTATGATAGAATTCAAGGAGGTACACAAAATAAAGGGAGCGAAAAAAACTAAACAGTTGTGGTTAAGCGAAAGAAAATGTAAGGAGAAAAAATACAAATCGCATGGAATGATTTTCTAACCGGCAAGAAATGGTTGGAATTATCAAAAGCGTAATGACAAGGCCTATAATATGACATTTAATTTACAAAAGGTATTTAAACTACAAACATGATGTGTTCTTTAGATTCGACGGCGTTGGTGCTGGTTTTTCACCTTCAGCTCCATAGGGGCGATTACATCCGTTTGAATTTACTTTAATTTCACTTCATAAAGTACGTTTACAGCAATCAGCTGGCTTTATATGTCATAATGACCATTGTCTCGCCTATTTATATCATTTCTTTGGTCACACTGGGTACCGAGAGAAATAAATAGCCATTTCGCTACCAACATTTTTAAAGCGGTTTTTTTAATCTTAGTACCAGGCTTAAAGAAAGGCTTAAAAGGCACTCCATTAACAATGTTTTCATGATGATGATGATGTGATAGTTGATACTATTGGTGCAGAAAATGGCATTGAATGCAAAATGCAGTCAATTTTCTACGACCTGTTTTCCGATCGGTTTTATAAGGATAAATTAAAAATTTGTATTTCATAATTGTATTTAGTTAGGTAAGGTTAAATAAGGTTACCCTGGTAACCGACAATTACATCTGAGCTCCGTTTTGCTGCACGCCCTGTTCAGTGCCTTCCCGTGTCATTCAGGTAGCTAGGATTGCAGTCACTGACTGTTTTTCCGCTTCGCCTAGTGACCTGAGTTGGTGAGCAGTGACACAGTAAATGCTCCGGTGTCTCCTGCTCTCCCGATTCCTTGAAACTTTTGGAGTGTGTATTGTAGGGTAGGCGATGAATTTCGATCTGGGCTGAGTTCAGAGAGACAAGAGTGTCTGTTGTTATAGAGCTTTCCTCTGACTCTTTCCTGGCGAGCTCGTCAGCTTTCTCGTTCCTGGAATGTCCTTATGTCCTAGTAAACAAGCTATTTGTACCCTGTTATCCTCTGCTAGTCTATTAAGTGGCTCCTTGTATTGGACTACAAGTTTTGATGTAGTCCGTGCAGTTGCTAGCGATTCAATGGCCGCTTGGATATCTAAGTAGATCCTTACTTTGGTATTTCGGAGGTCTGGATTCAATGAGAGTTCGACTGCTTTCAGTACTGCGAGAACCTACGCCTCGAACACTGTCGCTGCGCTGGGAGGTGAAAGGACTCTTCTACTCTTTACTCTTCGGCTCATTTTCGAGTCGTCGGTGTGAGGGAGTGTTACCTTATCTGGGTCGGGTACACTCCAGCTTCTTCATTCTTTTGTATACCGTGGTGTATGTTTGCCACATCGCAATTCGGTCATCATAAAGTCGTCCAACAGCTTGTTGGTGTCGTTTCCGAGGACAAGGTCCGGCTCAGCTAGAAAGACCTTTATCTTGGCCTTTCTGGTCCCTAGATGAACCGTCATCTCACCTGATGGCCCGATGTCAGGCCAGATGGCCCCCATCGTCGTTGAGCCCGTCCACCTGTGCCTTGGCAAGGCGGTCTCTAGCCACCTGACTAAACTTCTTCGCCGTCTGACGAAGGATGTCGATCTCGGGGCCCCCTTGTCGTCCTACGATCTCTTCGGAGCACTTTCGCTCACTTTGTATGAGCGGCAAGAACGCTTCCGGGTTCTCTTTTTGGAAACGCTCAAACTGCTCGATCACTGACAGGAATCCGCTTGATCTCGCTGGTCAGTTTTACCCTCCTCATCTTCGCCAGAATGAACCAGGCCTTAATGACCTGCGCCTTCCTTTTTTAATGGGTTGACGGCTTTGGCTGTTCGATGGGCGATGGGCCCCCTGGTGTTTGGGGCAATGAAGAAGGTCGACCGTGGATTTTTCCGCCACGGCAAGCCCACTTCCGATCCAGGGTTGCCTGGCCCTGGGAACGGGTCGCGTTACACGCCTGACTTGAGGGAAGGCATTTTCAAGACTTGATCGGGTCACGAAAGCGGATGGGAGTTAGTGTATTCTTTAGGTGTAGGAGTCACGGGATTCTGCCGCTCGCATTAGCCGTACCGTAGTAGGTTTCGAGGAGGTACCACGATGAGGACCTTCTCCGAGGAGAAGGTGGTGTCTATCAAATTGATTTTCATGTGCGAGTGCTTGCACCCTTACGACCCCCCATTGTATTTAATACGGACAAATATTTTTCGTAATTTCATTTTTTGAGTATGATAAAAAAATACTATATACTAATAAAATAACTTTATATTATTACGTTATTTATTTAAAAGACGTATATGAAGTATGCACATATATTAGATACCCACTATACCAAGATTACTTAAAAGATACGCAATGTAATATTTTGTTGCAGTGTTTACATAATCAAAGTCTCGGTTATAAACCTAGGTGTTCGAAATATGAACAGATCAGTGTGCGTTGGTCCGCACACAGAAAGTGCAAATGTCAGCACTCTGTCACACGCCCGGACATTATAACTGAACTCACCTCCGAGCTCCAGCTTAAGAGAGCATAGCTATATATATAAGGTATACATAGCCGTCTCCCTTAGGAAAAAAGCTGTTCCGTCGGAAAACAAAGAAATACAAATATAAATGTTTAAAGATGTTTTAATTGGCCTACGCTGAACATCAGTGCTCTCAATGCCCAGCAACCGGTATAATAGCACAAAGTATTAAGTTTTTATTTCTTAAAATCAAATATTTGGTGAATTTATTTATATTTTTGTTTGTGTTCAGATACAACATTCTCTTTATGATATTTTTAATCGACAACAATTCGTTCTCTTCAATAGTTCAATAGTCAGAATAATGGGTTTATTTAAACAATTATTTATAGGAACAATTAATTAACAAAATGAGAAGGAAAGTCCTTTACCATATGTCTGCAGGGCTATGAGAACTGGATTTTGTAGCGTTGGTGAGTTTTATATAGTGTGATAGATTAGACAGCTAAAAGCCATGGACGAGTTTTGTGTTTATTTCAAATTAATAATAATCTGTTGTATTAAGCACAAATTGGAAATGACATGGAATATGCTAATTAGTTCCTATAGTTTTTTTCAAGACAAACAAAGGTTTTATAAGGAATTGGTAAATAAATGTAACAGAGGAAATATTTCTATTGTATCTGCTGCTGCTGTTGTTGCTGACGTCGTTCTCGAGATTTTTCTATATGCCGCTTTCGCTCTTCTTTTGTCCAATAACGACCTATTTTTACTTCCGATACTGTATCCTCTTCGGTCGTCACAACTTCATTATAACGCATGTTTTTCCGAATCGAGGAGGAGACTTGGGGTACACGATTGCGCACTGGCCTTTTCACTATATATCTGGATCCATCGGGTCGACGTTTTACCTTCCAAACCATTGGAATTTCATCTGTATTATTTGATTCGTTGCTAAAGAGTACGTCATTGGGTTTTGAACTATTCGTTGTGGACTCGTGGCATTTACTAGCGACCTAAATATATATAAATAAATAATATAATAGTTTTATATATCCAATATAATTGATAATATAATACTTACCTCTTGACTGCTTACGAAGTGATAGTGGCTTAAATTTGGAGCATTGAACTGTGGGCAGTGGCTATGAGATGAATCCTCATTTTCTGCTTTAAGAATAATGTTATTATCCTCGTGGTTGCCTTTGCTTTGGCACTCTGAAATTAAAAAGGTCAAATTTGAACGATGTGTAATGAAATAAATTCTAGGGGCAACAAAGGTCTTGCTATAGTCGCATCACAACTTAGTATCATGGATCTCTGGTAATTTGAAATTCAAACCCACCACGTTCTTGCAATGGGATTAGTAATATTAAAAACCAATAGAAAACACCGTAGAAGTCACAATTTGAAGATATTTTTTTCTTTTTTTCTTAATTATTATAACATATAAGTTAACACATCCAGTTCCCACGGACAGTCGACAGTCGAGTTGCAGGCCATATCCGGTGGTGGCCAACACGAACCACGGACCAGCCACAGCCTTCGCTGTGCTTAAATAAACATTAAATATTATCTTCATAATAACCTTGGCCTTGAAAGGCTTAGGGGCATAAATAATTATTTGATAAATAAACGTTATTTATATAACTAAACCTAAATCTAATTAATTGGCGCTCAACGTAACCGACTCCCGCAGTTTTTGGTACGGTACTTTTACGAACGTAAATGCAAATTAGTAGTTCTCAATCATTATCAACCATACTCATAAACTTTTTTAGAATATTATTGGACCCATTGGGGATTGAACCTTCGTCTTAATGTTTAACAGTCCGGCCGCATACACATCGCGCCACATAGACAACTTAAATTGCGTCGGCGATATACACATATGTGCATATCTCGTGTGGGAGCGGGAAAAAGTGGCAACCCCTTTAGGACATTTATTTTTTTGCTCAGGCGATCGTGAAACCCCTGACAAACCGGCTAGTCCGAGTTCAAATCGCGCTCGAATCAAACTTTTTCTTCCTTTATTTTTTAATTTTTTAATTCAATGAATTTTCTTTTAAAAATGTTTGTTTCATTTAAAGAGTGACAAAAAAAAATTAAAATAAGTCAATAACTGTGGTTAAATAAAATAACAAAATTCTAGTACACAAAATGTACACAAACTCTCGGAAATATAATATTAAGTTCTTATTAATATTATTCTATTCTCTGGATATTTTCCGATTTCTACATTCTACATACTTTAACAAGCAAAACGAAAAAAACACTTCGTGTAAAAAAAAATACCCCAAAAGGCAAATACCTCAGCGCAGAATTCTACGTTGAAGGGAGCAGCGTTCGATTCAGGTATCCCTGCTCGACATAGTTTTCTGTCTTGAATTTCTCACCGCATGAAGCAAAGTCCGACTGGGTAACACCACAAGTGGAGCTACTATGCCCCAACCCCCAAGGAAGCAAAAACTACAGCGATAACGACAGCAGCAGCCTAGGCCAGCAACGACGGGACAAAAAGCCTCGACGACAGCATAAATATAAGAAATGTGAGTAGGCTTTTGGTGCAAATTGTTAGCCAGTAAATAAATAAGGTATTTTTATGTTTTCTAATGAAATTTATTATCAATAAAAAAAATACTTCCCTTGAAAATATAGAATTTATATTAATAACAAATTGAATACCTTGATATTTAATTGCTGGAAGGAACGAAAAATTCCGAAACCAGAAATATTTAGACGCTCCTTGAATTAAGCAGAACCATATTACAAATAAAATACCAGAAAGCTCTTACTTCAACTCCGTCACATGTATAGAATAAACGAGGACATTTCGTTAGACGAGGAAGTCCTCGAAGAATACAAGAAGCATTTAGAGACAAGGCACTATGGTCCAGAACTTGATTTTTTTGGCATAAATTCGAAATTTTCATGTTAATGTTTTGTATTTTTGATTAAAGTTAAAACATCAAACATAAACAAATCTAAGAAAATAAGCTTTACAAGCTTCACAAAAGATTTTTATGACCTTTCGAAACCACACAATCGAACAGCTGTTTGGTAATAAGAAATTGGCGGCAAATTGCTCATTTTACTTTTTTGCGTGAAAATAAATATTCCTTGTCCGAACAAACTGTTGATAGTAATGGAAATTGTAAATTAAGATATGTATTTTTAACTGAATATAGTCTGTTTATGTGTAGTCTTAGTGTTTGTGTTTTGTTTAATGTTCAATTTATGTGTATTTTGTATAGAAAATTAACATGCGTCCCTTGTGTTTCGTGAAATAAAACTAACGACCTGACGGCTGCTGACAAATTACGTCAGTTTATACTAATATATGTCGATCTTTATCGCTAATTAACAACCTTTCCCCGTTCATCCCCTTTTTCACGCAATTCCGCAATATTTAGCGACGTTCGAATTTCGCGATAGCGATCTCTTCGATATTTGGCTCAGCAATAATCGCAAAATATCATCTGTGTTAGATTGCATTTATGAAAAATTAGCCATTACCACTTCGAAGATGAAAAAAAATTTGAAATTAGAAATCAATAAAAAAATAAGTAATTTTTAATCATTTAAAAAAAAAAGACTACCGAAATGCAACTATATGGTCGAACGTTTTAAGTTAAAGCATACTGAATGGATGTCGTCTACAATATCAGTTACAATAAATGAAAACTGTAAGACACAAAAAAAAAAAAAAAAAAAAAAATCCAAAAACGGACTCCACTCACACCAAATGAAGCCCTAGCCTACATCCTTGAAAATTCTTTAACAAAACAGCAACATGTAAACACTAGGGATTTGAATATACATTGTGCATATAAGCTGAAGTTTAAAGTAAAAACACCTGACGTTCAAGTCTCAGATCAGTCTTTGTTTGTAACTTCTGTTATACCCATAAAAATAATTGACTCATTACAACGAAATATCTGGGTTAACAGAACACAGCAATCTATTCGATTTTGCAGGCCGCTGAAAATTCAATTTGTTAAAAAACTTCTGATCATATACGTCAACCGAGAACAACATCCCATTTGAAAAGGAATTGCAATCTGATTGTGATTCGAATGAGGACTTGAACGAAGGCAGCTTAATAATACTAGAAGAAGAAGAAGAATATAATGTTTAAGACAGAACCCATACATAACATATACATATCATATTTATATATAGATATTTAAATTGTTCCTAAAATAAATGTAAGTATATTGTCTGAATTCAGCGTCATACTCAATTTCTAATGATAATATTACGAATCGGTTTGTATGGGAGGCAATAGAGGGTGTGGTCGTACAGACTCAAAATTTTTTTTACATTATTGTCTTTTAAAAAAAAAAACATAATGTGCAAAGTTTTAGGTCTCTAACTCTATTTTTAGAATATATGCCAAAAAGATTGACTTCTGGACCATAGTGCAAGGGTAGAGAAAAAGAAATCTCAGGAAAGTCCAGCTGACATAGGAAATGCAGGCAGAACAGATTGCGAATATGGAGGCCGCCATAGCCGGCACACTCCAAAGGCAGCAACAACTTTTTGACGAAAAGTTAGCCGAGATTATGGGGGAATTAGATTCACTTAAGGTAAAGAATGACGCTCCCAAAATCCAGATATTTCAGGAAATCGAATTTAAGCCAGAGAGAGAGTGTAATTAACCTCTTGACATGATCTGGAGGCAAGCAGCAACCGCAGCCTATAAGGTATTTGAGCCCTAGAGCGGCAATAGCCGACACTATCAGGCCGTAGGAATAATAAAAAGAAAATTAATAAAACAATCATGAGACACGACGCAGCCGCAGCGTCCGGCTTAAACGAGCAACATAGGGAATAGGGAAAAAATAGCCGTGTTTACGGCACAGCCACGGGACTTGCTAACAGCATTAGCGGTAGCGCAAGAATCTGAGTTAAGCAACGAAAGAAGTGCCTTTGCAGCCACTTTCGCTCGTCATAGCGAGGAAAAAATATATAATCCAAACGACTAGCGACAAGAGGTTGGAATAATCCTCAGTATGAACAGAGCAAAATTCAGGGATGATAAAAAAGTCTTCACTTTATTAAGAATCAAAGAGGAGCCAATAACCTCTAGGCAGAGGCCGTCCAATAACACTGGGAATAATCAGGGCCAGCCTACACCAAAGCCAATGGAGGTCGACACCTCCTCCAGGTTCAGACAGGCCCAGCATGACAAAAGGGCCAGACAGCATGATTCAGCACAAAATTAATTTCATGCCGGAACAAAATCCCGATGGCGGGGAGTACGACTCCGACGCCCAGACCTGCAAAACAGAAACAGAGGACGAGCTCGATACGAAGACTCGTGTAATTTTTTAGAGAAAAGTCCCTGCTTCCTTACATAACACGTACGGAACCAGGTAAAGAAGTAAAATTAACAAAAAAACACAATTTTTTCTATTAATAAAAAGGACGTTGACGGTATTTTCGGGCTCGACTTGCTTAAACAAGCGAAAGCGAAACTTGATTTACTGGCAATGTTCTGCACAAACAACGGAACCGAAAAGATCCGGTTTACTAAGGCAGAAAGCGTCAATTTTATTTGAATGAATGATGATGAAGACGTTACCCGGCAATTAAGGTTACGTTTTATAAAATGATTTAAAAAAATCGCCGATCCGAACGAAGCGCTAACACTTAACATTAACACAATTGCCACAATTAAAACTGACGGCAAGCCGGTGTCCAAGTCGTACCCGCATCTCATGGGTGTAACCGAATTCGTCTAAGCAGAGGTTAAACAAGGCCATCGAAGTTCCCATATAACAACCCTACCGGGGTTGTAAACAAAAAAGGAAAAGTGCAAAATAGGCTCAAGAAGAAGCAATGTGTTATCGACTTCAGGATGTTAAATCATAAAACCATAGACAATAGATATCCTATCCCTACAATTTCGACAATACTGTCGAACAAAGGCGAGTCGTAATTTTTTCTGACACTCGACCTCAAATCAGGTTTCCACCAGAAAGAACTGGCGGGGAAAGACAGAGAAGACAGCATTTTCTATAGAAAACGGCCATTCCGAATTTTTTAGATTGCTTAAAAAGGATCCAAGCATCTTCCAAAGGGCCATTGATGACGTCCTAAGAGAATGAATTTCAAAGATATGCTACGTATACATCGATGACGTCATAATATTCTCAAAAACAAAGGAGGAGTCTAACCAAACTTTTAAAAGCAGGCATGAGAGTATCCCCCCT